TGTCACTGAAACTATAGGTTATCATCCGCATCGTTCTGTTGTGCTGTGAGATCTTGTGCGCCAAAGCCGGGGGGATTGTGGCTGTAGCTCGCGCGCGCCTAACACAAGGGTTTGGTGGCTCACACCCTTGGGCCGCGAGTGTGAGAATGCTCCGCTTGCCTTGCCTGTCGCTGCGAAGGGAGCGCAAAGCACCTAAGTGAAGTGCGAGTTCCCCGTGAAGGGAGCGCAAAGCAGCAAATTGAACTGCAAGTTCCCCATGGCACGCAGAAGTAAGGTGAATGTAAGAGCATCCGCTCTTGTCCACGCACACGAGTTTGGTTGTTTACCGTGCAATGCGTTGCCTGTTGTTCAGTGGTGTACCCTGCAAACTGCCCTCAGAAGGCGGGGGGTGTTGTTATTTCTCGTTGCAGGTCCTTCCTTGCCAGTTTGCATACCGGCTGCCCTTAGGGCCGGTGCGTCCCATGCATTCCTGCTGCTGCTTTCCTAGTAGAAGGATGCATGTGGGGTGGGCACATGTTGCAGAGGTTAGCTGCGGGCGACCGCATGCTTAAAGCCTGTTTGCCATGTGCTTGTCACTGAAACTATAGGCTTTATGGGGATGATATAAGAATATTGCAGGGACGATAAATGGTTTTTATAGGTCTTCTATAGTACCCTACTACTAACCACCAGTAAGTAACCAGCTTCAAAAGAGCACCCGTGCAAGTGCAGGAAGCCACCATGTGTCCCACACAGAAGCTGCCCTGAGCTGGATTCATCAGAGCTACAGTCTAAACTCCCTCAAGGGGGTTTAGGGTCTAGGATGCAGGGTCTAACTGGAGTATTATAGGGCTTACCAAGGGGGATAGTAGGAGTTTAGGCTGTAGCTCATCCCCTCAGAGATAGCATGACGTCTGCCATATGGCTTTTTTCTGGTCATGCTAGCGCTTGTATGTATGTATGTATGTATGTATGTATGTATATATGTGCATGTATATTCTTGCATGGTTGTCTAGACTTATTGTTTAGGGATGACCGAGAACGCTGCGTTAGTGGAATCGAACGCACAGGCGTCCGACACCATCGACAATGTGAAAGCTAAGATTCAGGACAAGGAAGGCCGGGACGTTACGACGGGCATAGGGATCTTGGTGGAACGGAACCCCACCCTCAGATTCCAAGAGTCCGTCAAAAACTTTTTACAAATCCTGTCAGTGGATGCCGATAGCGCCTTAACAAGTCGTTGCATCCCCAATGTTTTCAACTCATACCAGGAGATCTGAAGCCGTTGTTTATGGCTCATCTCAGCAGCCTCCACCCCAACATCCTCAACCCCCCCCTTAGATCGGAGGTGTCAGCCCATGATCCTGGAACCCAAAAGTCAGATCCCTTGAAAGTCCTGTAGACCCTAAATTCCAACCCCCTACTGCGTTTAGACCACAAGCTTTAAGGCTTGAATGTCTTGTGTGTACTTAAGGGCCATCCTATGTAGCCCTTTTATGCGTGCTATAGTTACACCTGACGTATACTGGCAATCCAATGTATCGCTTGTCTGGGTATCATTGTTACACCTGAGTAGCATTTAATTTGGGGATACTATGGTGCCCAATATAGAGTAAGATTATATCCTTCTTTTGGGGTATAGTACTTTGTATAAGGAATATTATCTTACTAGGTTCAACCACCAAAAAAAAAACCTTACTTAATATAACCCCAATATATACCCCATTATAATATAGTAGTTTCCATTTTTCCATTATCCCTGTATTGTTGGTGGTTCAACCACCAACAAAAACGCTACTCACCTGACCGCAGGCATCCCTCCCGACCAGCAGCGTCTGATCTTCGCGGGGAAGCAGCTGGAGGATGGTCGCACGCTGCTGCTGGAGCTGATTTGCTTACTGGGGCTCAGTAGGAGCTAAGGGAATATAACCCCATACAATCCCTATGGTTATACTATATTCCCTTATACCCAACTAAGGACCGGTAAGTTTGGGATTAGGATTTTGAGCTTCTGGTGGGTTTGATTAAGGTTTGGCATGGCTGGAGGATTTGCGAGTTTCTGGTTTTGCAGCGTAAAGGTTTGAAGGTGTACATATGGTGGGTTTAGGCTTTCCGGAAGAATATTTTCTTGGGTAATTCAAGCAGGGAGTACATGCAACTACAAGTGGGAAGCTGGGTATAGGTCTTCTTTATCATCAAGGGCTTAAGACCAGAGCCCGAAAAACAAGTGGGCCCATTTCTTAACCGTCCAAAGGTAGAAGCCTAGATAAGATAAACTCTGAAACGGGCTATGGTTTAAACTCCTTACAGGGCGTTATATAGAGGAATATATATGAGAGTATGATAGGCGGTATTAAGGTGTATATTAGGAGTTCAGACTATACCTCATATATTCCTATACCCTATATAACCTAATGTAACCCCCATATACCAGTATTCCTTATAGTCTCTGCTACTCAAATTAAATGCTTCACCAATAGGATGGTCCTAGGTTCCTCGTACAATTTTCGGAAAGAGTACATCAAATAGACCTCAAGCCCGTTGGTAACCCAAAACCGCGTAGTACTGTAAGGAACCTTTGGGGAAACCGCAGAAACCAGCAAGGCCTGTGCCAAGCCTCCTCCCCTTAAAGGGTCCATAGGGTATAGAGTGGGATGGAAGCGAAACTGGAAACTACTATTATCGTAAAGTATTTTGGGTTGAGGGTTTAGAGCGTCCCTGCCAAGCTCAGGTCAGACTACAACATCCAGAAGGACTTGTGCCGTGTGAGTCCATTGTAACCAACTAGCTAGAAAACCGCATGGCGAGTACATTCATGGAATTGGTTCTGCGGCCTGTCCTCCAAAAGAGCCTGCATAATTGCCCATATCATGGTCCGAAATTCCGTTGTGTAATGATGGTATATGGTACCTCAAATAGATCTCAAATTGTGACTGGTGTTTATCTAGGCCCCTACAGTACCCAACCTGTATTTCTTTGAGACAATGTTTGCCTTAGGGTTGAGGGTCAAGGGGCCAAGAATGTCCTCGAGTCGAAGTTATCCCTGCATACTGTTCTACCCATAATACGTGCAAAACGTCCTTCCTCCCTGATACTCAACCCCACCCGCGTGATAATGATGTTAGTGGGTGCGGGGGCAGCCCTAGATCACAGGAGTCTACACTCCACTTGGTGCTTCGTCTACGTGGTGGCCACTGTCAGGTTTCCGTGATGATCAGGGATTAATGAACGCAGAGTCCAGGCGCTTGCAGTGGATTTACAGTTGGAGTTTCGGCCTTGAAGCAAAGGGTTCGGCACTTGGGGGTGCATCATACTGCCAGAGCTTGATTGACACTTGTCACACCCAGCGTTGTCAGGTTCCGTGTGGGATTTTTGATGATCCCAAGTTGGTAGCCGACGTGAAAGAGGCCGTTGCGACAATTAAGAATCTGGGATGGCAAGCAGGGTTTTTCTGTGAGGATAGTTGTTTCTGATTGCCTCGTAGTACCTCAAAAATGGAGCTGCGTTTTGAGGTCGCTGCCTTCACAACTACCGAATAAAGTTGTTGTCAGCAAGAATACCAAGGGGACCAACATTGTCATTGTTCTGCTTGAAGGAATCAGCTTACTCACGCAGGTTCCTGCGCTGCTAGTCATTTGTACGCTGTCTGTTTTGCATGGCAGGCATAATGCCAGCTAGGAACGGCTGAACCCAAAGACCTGCACAACCACACATCGCCTAGGAAGGCGATGGTTCAGATTGGGGAGCTTTCCTCAAACATGACCCCGCTCAACATCAATCAGATCACGCGCTGGGTGAACACCAAGGACTTCCGCCTCCCCCCACCCCCTTTAGCGTATTGGTGCTCAAATAAGCACCAGCACCGCTAATAAGTACCAGCACTCCTAGGTGACGATGGTTGATGTAGGTCAGGATCGTGGGTGATGCAAGGTTTGGTTCATCAACAGTAGGGCCACAGAATCAAGAAGTGCTCCTCCTGTAAAAAACACGGGCACTCTTGCTACAGCTGCTCGAGCCTCACATGAGCCCAATATATCCGCATGGGCGCTTCTTTTGAGGGTTACTTTTTTTGAGAAACCTCATATGACCCATACATCCCCTATGTCAGGGTCTTGAAGTCGCCCCTAAAACTCAGAGGTCCCTTGGTTGAGATTCCCCCCGCCCTGCAGGAAGAGCATGCTGGTAAGATCATCTCTTTGATATCCGAGTATCTCGCTCTTTCATGGTCTGGGGTGTACATGGCTTTCTATGCATGACTCGGGTATGTGCTTTGAAGTCTTACACATTGGTTCAGCTTCTGCAGTAGGTGAACAGCTGACCAAACTCTTGGAGCTCCAAAATCGTCCTCTTCCTTGAACCCTTCTTCCCTAAGGTTGTGGAGAGCCACATCCTTCAACTACCCGAATGTCCCAAACCTTGAGATTGAGTTCTTTATTATTACTAGGTTAATCTGTATTATCAGTATTATTACTACTATGATTGCTTTTCGTATAGTATTATTTGTGTACTGCCCCCACTCGGTAACAGTTGGATGCTAATTATAATATGGTTATATATAGCCCTTAATAGGACCTCTAATATAGACTGTTACTGGGTGGGGGCAGTACCCAAAGTATTATTACCAGCCATTGTTATTTATGTTGGGTTTGATTGCTTGGCATCATCTCGAGCCAGGAGTTGGGGATTTGGGGTTTCAGGTTGTTTGGAGTCTGAGGCTTGGGGTTCAGGGTCGCCCGAAGAAACCTTGTCCACTTAGTTCAAGTTCTTGGCGTCCAAGTTGGGCTGGTGGGTTCACTCTCCCTCTCTCTCTCTCTCTCTCTCTCTTTCGTGTTCGAATTGGGATTTTCCTGTTCCTGCACGAAATCCTGTCTCAGGTATTGTCTGTGCCAGAGGGTCAAGCCTGTGGGCGACCCAAAGACGCCCTTCTCCAGCGAGGCCGGCCGAGTTTTTTTTTTATTGCTTCTAATGACATTGGGCAACCGTGTTTTCTCCAGTTGTTCAGGGGACATGCTTTTCACCGCTTCTGCTTGTTGTATAGCAGAGTGTGAGGGTTGAAGGGCTGAACCCTAAACCCTAAGCCCTAAAGGCCTTGAACCCTAAACTTTGGACTTTATAGATTGGGCTTTTCTTCGGCACTCACGCTCAGCCAGTCTGGTCTTAGGGCTAGGAGCTCGATGAAAGAGGCTATCCAGCACATGACCTGGCCTTATGAGAAGCAAGGCTATTCGATGACAGTCTCCACAGCGTGACCTAAGGCTGATTTCATTGCTGCGCTGCAGTCCCATCACAAGGTCATGCTGGCAGCAGCCGCTCGCTCAACCAGCTGAGATTTGTTTTTCCTACTCAGCTTGCCAGTTACAGAGAGTCCCGTAGAACTGCCGAATAGGTTTATCGAGTCTCTCTTGGCAGTTCGCAGCGTGCAAAGTTGCATTTTATGAGCCCGAGCAGAAGACCTAGTCTTGATCTACCCCAGACCCCAGTCACCTTGCTGACCCAGGTCATCTTGCTGTCTGCTTGCTTATGGGGGGTTCCTACATTAGGGGCCCCGACGCAGAACCAAATATTCTGTAGTCTCTATAGTCCATAGTCCTTATTCTTGGGATTCCCAGAAAGCGGGTTTGGACCCTCAACACTAGTTCCGAAGTTCAAAGTGGCTAAGGTCAAGTGCAAGCAGAATGTCGACCCAGCCGTGGCTGATGCCCTAGATGCAGCAGTGGTGGAGATGAGCAAGATGTACATTAAGAGCCTTGGGAGTACAGTCTGGCAGTTTTTCATGGTTTCTGGATGTAAAGCTTTCAGCTCCTGACCCGTCGTTGTTTCCATGCCGCTTGACTTTGGGATTCCATGGACCGTGCAGACGCATGTTAAGGTACTATTTTAGTTCCAATTTATTTATCCCAGTATAACCCCAATATGCTACAGTAATTTCCATTTTCTTTTCCACTATCCCCAGATGATCCCAATATACTGTAGGCAGCCTTGTTTTCCCACGAAGCCGTGCAAGCAAGGAGCGGCGGTGGGTACGGCGCAAATTGACTAGACTTGCGCGATCCGATGCCAAGTCATGATGACGGTGCCACATCAACGGGCATTTGCACTACATGTGCTTGGTTTTAAACGCAGGGTCTCCCTAAAGTGGGGCTTGATCCACCCGCTGGCTTCTCGTATCATGCACGCTCCGCGCCAACTTCACTGCAGATCTCTCTGGTCAGAAGAACTGCAAGGGCCAGACACGGTTTCAGCAGAGGAGCAATTCCAACTACTGTTGCTACTGCTGCACCATGGGGTTTCTGCCTCAGAGTTAAGGTTGCACGGCTACAGCGCAGTCACATCCTGTTCACAATAATGCAGGCCCTTGCAGGTAGGGACTGGTGATCTCAACCTGGAAAGCAGAGCTCACGGTTGGGTGAGTATCCCTGCGTTGGCATACACCAAGACTTTCAAAGTCAGGACAGCGAAACATCCTGAGCCCTGGTTGGGGTCCACGTTAGGGTTCCTTTCTGCTTTGTTGGTATTTGTACAGTACAGATCCCATTTTCCTCTTTGGGTAGTAGCGACTGAGCTGTTCCAAGAGGTATGACACCCACAATGTGGGCGATAGCTCTGAATACATCCCAGATAGATCTATGGGTAAGGCATGCTACGTTTCGGGTTACCGGGTGAGGAGCTGCACATATGGACCCAGAATTGTTGCCCATCCATAAGGAGAATCGACGGAGCCTACTGTCCCTACGGTTTCCCAGGCATTGATGTAGGGGTTTGCTAGTTGTGGCTCCTGTCTTGTTTGGACACGCCCATCTACAGCTTCTCCATGACAAGAGGCCTCTTATGCGGGTGGAGAAGTCCTAAAGACTTGTTGCGAACAGATTGGCAAAATTCCTCGTCAGGCCATTCAGTCACTTCAATAAAAGTTTGCCACCGATAGGTCCCTAATCAAGTGCCTTGAACCAAACCCTGCATGTCAGCAACTGACAAGCTTTTGTAGAGAGAGAGAGAGAGAGATGTGGTTCCTCAAGAGCGATTTTTCTGCTCAAGCCCCCTGTTCACACTCCGTGAGCCCGTGAGGTAGCACTCCTTCTCCCACTTGTAGTGACAGGCGGGCTGTAGAGAAAGATCTTGCGCTTTGTCCCTGTGGTCCAGCCATAATCATCCCGGGCAAGTTTGACCCACTAGGCGTGTACACCCTGATCACTCTGGCCAAGATCGATTCAGAGGTCGCTCCAGTACGGTGTCAGGAGCCACACTACAGGCCTTTGACCCAGCCCTGCACTACCACGCCTTGCTCCTTCTCCATGCCAACTACGCTGGGCGAGGGACAAGTTCACCTACTGGACCGTGACTCTGGCAAGGACACCACTGAGGCAATCCTCAAACTTCAGGAAAATGGCCACCACCAGGCCAAATGCACCCTCCAATGCCATAGACGTGGATGTCGACAGCCTAGGAG